GGTTTGCAACAACTCTAATACTTACATTTTAACTTTTTTTATTCCTAAATTTCTTACTAGTTTCTCTTTTACTTCTAGCTAGCAACCTGGAAGGATTAGTTTGTCCTAGCTTTAAATATCTTATAGTCACCCTCTCTTTAGTACATGTTTCTAAAATATATATTTTTTTCCTTTAGTTGGCAATTTAATAGTTTGGCTAGTATATTTTTCTACTTAAAGATCTGGTTATTTAGTTCTCTAGTTTTGGTTTTTGGGTTTAAATTTGGTTTTTTTTTGTAATACTATCAAAAAACATTGCTAGCTTTCTACTTGAAATTAGCTAAATAGGTTTTTAGTAATACTAGTTCTTTAGATTTATTATACCAAAGCTTCTATTTAAGATAGTATGACCAAGACTACAAATTTCTAGATTCAACTAATCTTTATAACTATTAGCTATATTAGAAAATTTTTTATAGAGATAACCATTAGTATATAGCAAAAAATTGATAAATAACAATTGGAAAATAATGATATATCGATATATATATATATAAATTGATATATATCTAATAACTAATGAATATCATAAATAGATAATTATTAATATATATCAAATAAATGATATATATTGTTAAATATTTTATTGATATAAATCAATAAATAGCCATATATTGCTACCTAGCTAATATATATTTATCACTATTAATTAATAATAAACATATATTACTAATTATTTAAGTGATCGAATTTTATCTTCAAGGGAAATATATTATTATATAACAAATCATTGATATATATCAATTGATATTTTAGTGTTATATGCTAGTTATTAAAAAATATATTATATATTGATATTATATTTTTTGTTAATAAGCAATAATTTGATAATTATTATTTTATAGCTTATAATGTTATTTATTGATTTTCTTGCTATATATCGAAATACATCTATTTTTTGTTTATATTTGATATTTTTTTGTTTGCTATTGATATTTAGTACTATTATATTTTTATATATTAGAGTTTATTAATATATTTATATTTCAATATATATTGATATTGTATTACAGTCAGACCTCTCTAAATGCATGGTGTCAGGCTAACAAAAAACCTTGTATTTAGAGAGGTATTGTATTTAGGAAGGTAAAAATCTATAAGTAATATATGAGTTGGGACTAAGCCAAGCCAAGCATTTAGAGAGGTCATGCATTTAGAGAGGTTGCATTTAGGGAGGTCTGACTGTATCTTGTAAGTTATAGCCTAATTTATTTCTTAATAAAATTATTATATATGCTATATTGCAATTTTTAACTACCTATTGATACTTGTCATTTGAAATGTGTAATTACTTTATTGTATTATATTGTGATTAATAGCTTATATAATCTCAATTATTAATTAAATGTAATATGATATTTAACACTTTTAACTTTTTGTAATTAATTTAAAAAATATATGCTTTAAATATTAAAACATACTAAATATTTATTTTTTTTATTAATTCTTGGAACTATATAAATGGTTTTATCTATATATTCTATTAGGATGCAACTATATTGCTTAATTAATTTTAATTTTGGGCATCCTCAAAATTCTTTCTCTTCTTTATACTATTAAACAAGCACAAATTCATACAGCTCTCTATTTGCTGCTTGGTAAAACTTGAGTATTAACAATACCTTAAAATTAATAATTATTATATTAGTATATAATTATTAATAAAGTTAAATAATAAGAATATTGTCTAACTCTAACTTCAGATTTGGTTTACTTTCATTATTACTTATTATTATTTATTATTATTAATATACTATTAACATTATACTTATATACTTGCAATATTAGATAATATAATAATACTTACTAAACTATACTAATTTATATCTTGATTTTCAATTTTAGTACTAACAATAATATTAGAAAACAAAGGTTTTCTATGAAATTTTGAAGAAACACAGATTATATTAGTGCTGTCAAATAATACTGATGCAAAGAATTACATTTTTGCATTATTGTCAATTAACATAGTTGATTTGTTTTTAAAAAATTTATCAAGTTAAATAGCAAATTTTGTAAGCCTTTAATTTGTAATGAGTCTATATCTTTATTTTTTTGAAAAAAGCTATCAAGGTCTTTCAAATTTATCATCACAAACACTTCTGAAATTTTTTGTTTTTTATTTCTTCTTAGAAACTTCTTTTTTAGTTAACTTTTATTTTTTAATCTAAATTTTGATTATTAATGATATATAACAATTTTATTGGCTATGCTACTCATCTTACTAACAATCATTTTACCAAAAGTTCACTTAGCTAATATCACATAGGATTAGAATTAGTATATTATTAGTTGCAGATATATTTTTTTTAGTAAATTGTCATTTAGTGTGATATCAGCTAAGTGAGTTTATAGTAAAATGATTGTAGATGAGGTGAGCAACGCACCTACTAGTAATTATAACAAGACTACCCACTTAGCTTCTGAATCACACCACACAATTATAACCAAGATATACAAATCAATATAGATTTCTAGTAGAATAATAGTGAATAATAATAATAATTATAACAGTATAAATATTTCTGCCCTATCTAATCTAAACATATTAATACCTAACTTTACCCTTAATTTTAATATAAATAATAAATTTTAGTAAAATTTATATATCAACTTCGGGTTTACTAATTTTCCCCACCACTTCACTATTGGAGTACTATAAATTTAATTAATAGCACAGATACTCCGATATGTGAATAATTAGTAGAAGTGGTGGGAGAAATTAGTAAACTCATCAACTTTAATATCTTATCCTACTACATTCTTAATTTATAGTCTAGAGATCTTTAAATCTATTTAGCTAAGATTAAGGTCTAAAGTAAAGTAGCTTCATTTCTACTTTCTCTAAAAAATTATATAAACTTTCATTGTAAAAATCTGCATAATAAATAATAAAGGAACTAAGAAAAAGATCTTACTTTAAAAAAAAAATAAAATAAATAAAATATAAATTTTTTAGTAAGTTATTTATTTAATAATATTAAAAGTCAAAATAATGTATTGAAATAAAAACTATTAATTATAATGTATTATATTAAGTTTATTATTTAAAATTGTTAAAGCCTAGTGCTATACACCAGATTAAAGACTATATAAAAATAAATATTATATATATTAGATTATTTATTTAATAATATTAAAAGTTGACTATTAATTATAATAAAAATAAGTATTATATTAAGTTTATTATTTAATAATATTAAAGCCTGGTGCTATGCATGGGTTAAAAACTAGTTATAAAGAGCTATTAGAGTAATTTTATAATATAGTGTGAGATATTATAGCACTAAATTTTGAAGTAAATATAAATGGTGCTGAATTTTAAAAATTATATATAAAATTATATATATAATGCTAAAATTTTAAAAAGAGTGTAATTAAAAAAAAAAAAAAAAAAGAGAGAGAGAGAATGAAAATTTTATTAAATTAAAGAAAATTACTACATATTACTAGTGGTAATCATCACCAGCTCTAAGATTTGTTAGAGTTAGAGTTATAAATTAGAGAATTATTTTTTTTTATATAATATAATATAGAGCTAATATAAGGTTCTAATTTTAGTTTTTGTGAAGTTTTTGGGGGTTCTGAACATTTTTACTTAGAATACCCGATCCTGTTTACTTAGTATGTTTTTGAGATATAGCAACACTGGTGATGATCATCAGTAGTGATAAATAGCAAAATTCAAAATTAAAATTCAAAATATATGATATAAATGCTGAATTTTTGGTGCTAATTAATAAGACAAAATGCTGAATTTTTTAATTTTACAGTATTATAAAATTAAAGAATTTTTAAATTAAAATAACTTTTTAATAAAAGATTTTTTAAAAAAAACTCTATAGCTTTATTCTTTAGGTCTCAAAAAACATAACAATAGAAAGTTTTTCTTTAAAATAATTATTTTTTAAAAAGTTATTAAACTTTTACTGTAAGCAATTATTTTGTGATGTGACTATATGTCTTATACCATACGAACTTTCTCATCCTAACACTAACCATAAAGAGCTGCTAGAATGATAACTTTCTCATCCTAACAATAATCATAAGGAGCTGTTAGAATGATCTTATACGGTAATACAAACCTTTTCATCCTAATATTAACCATAAAGAGCTGTTAGAATGATTATTTTGCTTTATTTACTGTATTCACTGTAATTATTGTTCTCATGTTACATCGATAATTGGCCAAAACTCACATGACTGCTGTGATCGAGCAATCAAAATTGCGAATTTAAATTTTTTTTTTAATATATATATTTAATTTTATTATTATTACTAGATGTTAGACGATGGATTAGATTTTAACATCTCTATTACCATATCCGGTAGGATAAAGGCGAATAATCAGCGTTTTCAAAACTTTCCTGCATAATACACGATATGTAAAAAGAAGAATGATTTTCCGGATTGGATTCGAATCAAATTCAATTCGAATTGTAACCGGATTCATGAAAGTGAATCCGGATAGTCCTGAAAAAAATAGGATCGAAGCTCTATATTAGTTACAGCTTTTAAATTCTATATATTCACATAATCAGACTATAACAAGATAAAAATTCGTAGTTAAAAATATATTCTCAAGACTTATTTGGAACTAAAATTGAACTCATTGGAACTAAGTTGAATGGATTTTTCTATTCGATTGATTACAATTCTAAATCATCACGTGTTATAACATATGAATTCATACGTGATGTTATGATTTAACGTCACACAAACAATATCAGTAAATGAAAATTGGTCGGTATCATCAGATCATGAGATAATAACAAATTATTTTGAAATAATAAAAAAAGCAATATAATGAACCGGCTTTTTACAAATTAGGATATTGTTTATAAAACAAAAGTAACGAAAATAGTTACAAATATGTAATCATTTTATTTACGTATCAGAGTTAAAAAAAAGATATTTACCGCACATATAAACAACAATTCTTTTGAATCAAACTAAATAGAATGGATGAAATATCTTTTGAAAATCAAAGTGGAGAAAGGATTGGACCGGGAAAAGAAAAATATCTTTATTATTCATCAAAAGCATATTTTACATATGGATTAAACCGAAACAAATTTCAAAAAGGATATTTAGGATTAAATCCTTCAGAAGTTAGTGGAATATTTCATATACGATATCCTGAAAGTAAACCTTTAAAAGCAAGAAAGATAGAACTATATTTTTTTGGAATAATTTATACACAATGGGCAGATTATAATGGTTATTATTGTTCTAATAGTAAAGAGATTTGTAAAAAGATGAAATGTATATGGAAAGCTAATTCTAACGAAGAAAATTTAACAAGTTTAGATTTTCCATTTAAATTTACGATTCCAAATGAATCACCATCATCAATAAATTATGTAGGAGAATATAAAGCAAATGGAACAATATATTATACAATTAATGCAATAATTTATCGAAAAAAACGTAGAATATTTGAGAGTTCAGAAAAAGTGATTGAAGTTAGAGTAGATATTAAACGATGGCAATTACTGTCATGTCCAGATTATAATCCGGATTTATTAATTAAAAAAAACGAATTATTTAAATGTCAAGTATTATTTGATAAATCAACATTTGATGTTAAAGGGATTATTAATGTTCCAATTAATTTTCAAATATATAAACAAGACGTAATAGTGAAAAAAATTAAAGTGAAATTAATTGAATATTCTAAATTAAAAAAGTATGCAACAACCAATAAAGGAAGTTTGGTAAAACAATCGGTGAATGGTAATGAAGTGTTACCAATACCAAATAGCGAAAATGAGTTTAGTGTTGTTGTGAAATTGGATTTATCAAAGGTAAAAAAATTGAGGAATAACGAAGCTGTAATAAATTGTAGTTGTATTACAGAGTTATTTGAAATTTGGCATAAAGTGAAAATTAATATTTTAATGGGTAAAGCTAATAGTGTAAAATTTAAAAAGGTGATTAAATTGTGTAATATTGTTAGTGATGACGCTTTGGAAGAATATATGGTGAACAATTTTTTTTAGACGTATATACGTACTGTATTACATAGCAGATATATCGTATTATTAAATATATTAATTAATGTAATTAATATTTATTATATATAAATATATAATGTGTATTTGATATTTTACTAAATTTAGAATAAATATTTATATTAATTAGTACTTTTATACTTAACCAAGTAAATACGTATTAATATATATATATATTAGTAAATTTAAAATACATAGAGCCATTTTTATTCAATACGTACAAGAAAAAACCTCAAAATTGATAGTCAATAGTATATATGAAGAGATTAAACCTTTTTACGTATTCGCAGATGTTTTCCTAATAATAATACCTCCAAGCTTATATGCCCACTTTCGGTTGAGAACCTAGGACATATTATAAGACCGAATGCTAAAGATAGCGCCTTGCAGTATATTCACATGCCAGACGTTGTGCTACTAAGCACAAAAGCATTTTTTAAATTTCGGTGCGCTTGAAAATTGGTTCAATGAATGATATCTAAATTTTTGAGCGCCCCAATCTATTCGTATGTGATATTAAAATTTTGAATAATTGATAATATATATTAAATTGGCAAAATGAAATGTAACAGTAACAGAAAGAGAGTTTAGTAGTTTCCCGAAGTATAACCAGTCCCAGACTTTAACCGTAGCACTAAATTCAAATTAGCTTGGTTTTTTTTTTTTTTTTAAAAAAAAAAAAAAGGTTTGGCATATTATATTTAATAATCAAATTAAAATAATCGAATTATATTATAATCAGTTTCAATAATTTTTACAAAATTAATGAAATTAGAAATTTATTTAAGTTCGTGAGTCCGTGAATAAAACATAGACTGCCACCTTACGTTTTCGTCATATTTTGTAAAGCTTATTTATCGATAAAAGGAAATATATGAATAGTTAATATGAATCTCACAAAATATTTCAAAGTTGAAATGACTAACATATTGTAATCACAGGAAAAAAAAAATTACAAAGATTAACTAAATCAAAAAGAGCAATAATGTTTCTAATTTAATTTGTGAATTTAGAATTTTACGAAGAATCTTTCGGATATTCAATGTGGCTTAGGAGTCTAAAACCACCTATATAGTGGTACTTCGAAAAAGGTCCAAGCAATGTCTAAATGAATAACATTTCCAACTTTTAGCTCGACATTATTCATCTGTAAGAGTTTTTCCATCTCAAAACTTCTGATATTTTGAGCATCATTATTATAAATTTTTATCGGTTCAAAAAGCACAATATATAGTTATTAAACGATTGATAATACGAGTTTTTATTATACTGAATAATAAAGAAAGTTAAACACGAGAAACATTATAAGAGTATTTCGTCCTACTCAAGAATATAAGAAGCTACTTTACATGCTACGACTACCAAAAAAATTATTAACCTATTACAAAAAGAAGTTTAAAACATGAATAATCTTTTAAATTCGTCGACCTCCCCAGATAATTTTACAAGGTAAAAGAACTCGATGTTGCAATTTACCTAGAAAATTTTAAATCGTGAAAAATTAAATATATCAACGATAGAATATTATATATAGCTTAAATGATTTCGTTAAATAGCCAAAATAAACTATTAATTTCTATAAATAAAATTAATCAAAATAAGCTATCTATTTTTGCAGAGTAACTAAAATAAGCTATCTATTTTGCAGAGTAACTAAAATAACCTTTTTTCTTCCAAATATTCCGACTTGCCAAATAATTCGAGTTGACAAATAATTCGAAATGCCAAATAATTCGAAATGCCAAATAATTTGAGTTGCCAAAAATAATTCGAGTTGCCAAAAATAATCCGAGTTGCCAAATAATCCGATTATGGAATTAAAAAAAAAAGTATTATTATTAAATATCGATAATCAAATCAATAATTAAAAATTAATTAAAAAAATTAAAATTTTAAGTATTTTGGTAAATCCAATTTTAAAGAAAATTTCTATTATTAAGGATTCAACGTTATGACCATCATTATTTAGGGCTCCATTGGTCATGGGGTGTCGGGAAACTATAACTACTACCTGTTGGATCGTGATTGTACATCGAATTATATGGATTTGAAGGAATAGTAAAAGGTAAAGGTAATTGGAAATCATATGATTCATATGTTTGCTGCGTATAGAAGGTAGGATAATTTCCCCGAAAGTTATTGGGCTGAAGAGCTTGTGCACGTGTGTCAGGTACTTCATTAGCTGTCGGAGAATACATACAGTGGTTGTATCCAATATTTGTTGTCGTATTATTGGAACTGATGGTGGAGTGCTGAGTTTGTGCATTCATCTTAGATTTATGTTCGATTTCTTTTAATTTTAGAACATTATATTGCTCTATTAATTAATTTTAATATTATTGTTATTAGGAAACATGTAGTCTTGGAAAATACCATTTTTATTAGAAACACTTTATACGTATGTATATATTTATATATTGAAGCCAAATTTGACAAAACCAAATCTATAATCCGGACAAATTTGCCAATAATTTGGCCAGACTTGAACAATGTAACTTACTTTATCTGACAAAGTGATTGACAAATTTAACCAGAATTATAAAAGTTTTAAGTTTTACTATTAGCCAAATTACTTTTTATGTTATCGTTATATATATATATGTATATATATATTCTCACCTTGCGTAATTTCAAGTATTACAAATTTTTTATCATTCTCTTCACTTAATCCGAAGTTATTAGATGGATCTGATTCGATAAAAGACACAATGTCATGTGTTGACTTTGGAACCCGCTTTTTTGCAGCATTATTCGGCTTTGGACCACGTTTTTTATGATGCGGATGATAGGTACATATCAAGTTCTTTTCTATGCATCTTTCACATTGCTGTGAAGAATTAGATACACATTTTCTTTTTGACTTCACACATTCCGTACAAGCATTTTTCGAGTTTTTCGAGTTTTTCCTTGAAATTTCTTGTTGGTCCATTAGTGTTGACTTTGAACGCCATTGTGACCTTTAAATAATTACTTGCGGAAAATATTAATTCTTCCGCTTTCTTCCACTAGAAGGAAGGGAAACTCATTTCCGGGAAGAATTTGTACAGCATATGTGCTAGGTTAAGGGTTACAAATATGGATATATAATAGAAATTTTAATGGAATTTTTTAATTGTTGTATGCCAATATTTTGCAATATGATTGGGCAACGATAAAAAATGTCGAAATATCAGTTTTACAATAGAAATTCCGTATAACAAATAGATTTTTCTATTCAGTATCAAACTCTATTGGACTATTGATTATATCTTATCTCGGTAAAATCCGGCTTGTTAGGTATTTACTGTTACAGATTTACATAGACATTAGAGTTGTACAGTATAAATTAAGCATACACTGTCACTGTAACTTCAAAAGTAAATTTCCATTATACGAGAAACATAACACGAATTCTTTTAAAGGTTAGACGTTATAAATATTGTACACTGGCAATCATAAATAATGCAACACGTGATTATTTTTATAATAAAACATAGTAACTTTGAAAATTTTCATCTATGATAAAAATTTTTAACAAAAATTTTTTAAAATTTTTTTTTAATATCAGAATAAATTTCAACATTTGAAGCTTCTAAAAAATATTTTTTCAGATTTTTTAAAAATT